CTCAGTTTCCTCACCTATCAAAAGGTGATAATAATAGTACATTGTAGAGTTGAGATGAGGGAATAGTCACTTACTGATTTAGTACATGTAAAATTATTCTTAGAATAGTGCCTGTCAGTACACAATGTATGTTGTTGTTATTATTGCCATTTCCAATGCTTCCTTTCACAGTACTAATCACATATAACATAAACTTAATAAATATTGTAGAATAGATGAATATTTTTCTCCACTAGCCCTTTACAATTCTCTATGGTTTTCTTCCATACATATATATTATTGCAAAAATTGAAAGTCTCATTTAAGTCTGAAGCAAAAAAGAAACCCCATGAATTTAAATAGATTTTACTATCTGGTTTAAGGAAATAGACCGACTTACTGAGCAAAGCAATTTTTTTCTTGGTACTAAATTTGAAATGAATTTATTGTAAGAATATTTATGGGACAGGAGGCTAGTAAAATGGGGACAGCTCATTTTTCTAAAACCTACTTAACATATTGAGATTAGAAAAAACATTTTTCCATTAAATACAGCAACTGTATCAAATTACATCAGCAACCCAGGGGGACTAGGTCAGTGGGGAGGTGGATTAGACAGAGAGAGCTTTGTTTGTTATGTTCTTCTACTCCAAAACCTCCACTGGGAAACTGAAGAGGAAGATTAGTGGTGTGTGCAGAAGGGTAGGTGTAATCTAGAAATTGGAATCTGAAATTACTTGTGACATCATAGGTATATTTTTGTCTTTAGGGAGCTGTGTTGTTAGTAATTTACTGTAATTGCAATAACCAGATCATTGTACAATGTCTGTAGAGAGCATGGAAAAATCCACCTGCCCTTTAAGTGACAGTGTATCAAATAACACAGTAAAACTGTTTTAGTCAAATACTCCTACTATTTTAGTAGTTTCCCTTATATAAGGTAGGCATTTCAGACACACACACACACACACACACACCTCAGCATCCCTTCAGAAAAACGTACTTGGTTGTTTTGTAGAGGTAAGTGAATGTGTTAGTGATAGGGAACTGGTATTCTGAATTATTTCAGGTGATTCTTCAACAAAGACTATTAAAACATCAGTCATCTGGGGATCAGAAGGAAGTTTTTTCTTAAATTTTAAAAATAGGTATTAAAACAGGGAGCAAATTAGCATGACAGGAATTTCTTTTAGTGGAGATCGGTAGGGTATTAAAAAGCCATGGGCTGTGGATTTAGCTCAATGGTTCCACCACCTGCCTCGCAAGCACAAGGACCTGAGTTCAATCCCCAGTACCAAAATAAACAAACAAACAAAAGCCCTGAAATTTATATAACTTTATAAATGACATGGTAAAGTGACTTTATAACATAATACCCACTTTTATAGGTGATTCCAAGTTACAAAATGTAAAATCCATAGAAATAAATTTCAAGAAGATAGATACATTATGAATAGATGTAAGAATTATGAATAATAGATAATGCAAAAGAGTTAGTAAGAAGCCAGGTGTGGCTGGTGCACACCAGTAATACCAGCTACTTGGAAAGGCGAAGCAAGAGAGGATCACAAGTTTGAGGGAAGTCTGGGTAACTTAGCAAGTCCCCTATCGCAAAATAAAATCAAAAGGACAAGGATGTTGCCCAGTGACAGAGCACTTGCCTAGCATGAATGATGACCTGAATTCAATCCTCAGTACCACAGAGAAAAAAAAGTAAGAAAGAATGTCAGATTGTTTTTAACATGGCCAGTGTGGCCTATGAAAAGTCTGGGAGTTCTTGTCACCTACTCTTAGTGAAGGTTTCAGCCTGTAAAGTTCTTGACACCATCAGAATAGGTGCTTAAAAGCACTGCTTTGTCTATTTCAAACACTTTTCCAGGAAGTGGTCTAAATTAAAACATCAAGAGTTAAGCAAAGTAGATAAGTTTTGGGATAACAAACTAATAATGACTTATAAAAGAACACAAAGTGTGCTTTAGGTGAAAGTTTTTAACCCTGCAGCAGAAATGTGGAGTCCCATGAGCCCAGTGGTCCAGGAGGATTCAGAAGCATCCAGCCCAGTCTCCCCTGACTGTGGCACAGAGCTCATGCTCTGCAGTTTAAGGAACACAGAGTGAATTGATACATAGTAAGTCAACTCTGGTTTCTGCCTCAGAGCAGGATATTCTTTCTCTTTTCTCTCCCTTCTCTCTTTCCTCCTCCTCCTCCCCCTCCTCCCCCCTTCCTCCTCGAGGT